TAACAAATATGAAAAATTAGCCTAACATATTGAAATTACAAAAAATCATATATAAGTGGAAAGATATAACCCGAATTTTGATAAATTGTGAAGATGGAGATAAATCTTGAAATCTTGAATCTCTTCAATGGTTTCTTAATGAATCTCCACTTGCGCTCTCTCTTCTTTGTTTAATACCAAGTTTGAAAATTCACTTGATTGAATTCTTACAAGTCCCCTTCAATTTTCTCACAAAAATAATGAATTCTCCTCCTTTGATAATAATAATTGATGAATATTGGAGTATATTGTGTATGAGAGATATGTATGAAAGCCCCCTTCATGTATTCTCCTGTTGGGTATCTGTAGTGGTCGAAAATTGGTGAAAAATCATGCCCAAATTGGTTTCCAAAAGAGTTCCAATAGAATAAGGAAAGTAACACTCGTGCGCGGCTTTTTTGTCTCTATATAGTAATCAGTATTTTGATCATATCTTTGTCTCTCGATATCCGATTGAGTTGATTCAAAATGCATTGGAAAGCTAACTAAAGGGGCTACAATTTTCTTAGAGATAGATATTTTTCAATTCGGACATTTATTGTGCCTAAAATTGGTCGTAATCCTTGACAAAAAATCTGGAAGATATATCATGTAATTAGAGGTCGATTTATGATAATATTCTGATGATATTCCATTCCTTTTTTTACTTCTAATTGCATTCAATTGACTCCCATCAATCTTTAAAATATCTCTTATGGTCCAATTCAACTATTGGATATTTGGAATTTGGTCCTCAACTTTGTACTTCGTCATTTTTCGCTTCTTTCTTTCAATTTAACTTCCAATCATTGCGTTTTACCTAATAAATGAAATATACAATAAATTAGGCTATAATTACTTTAAAAAACTATTAAATGTCAATATTTTTAGGTCTACATAAGTGTATAAAATACACTTATCGGAAGCCACATAGTGGAAGAAAGTTTATAAGAATATTTGAAATATAATTACTATTATTCAAGTTAACATAGAAAAGAGAAGTGGTCAAGGAAAGCATGCATTGTTCATTAAATAGGGAACACTTATTTATTTTTTGAAGAGTGAGTGGGCGTCTCTATATTGTTACAAATTTCATGAGAGGTATGCATTATTCAAAACTTAAAAATCTTGAATAAGAGAAATTAAAGATTAGCAAGTTAATGAGGCAAAGAAATCTACATTTATATTCTAGAATCTATTCCACGTAGACGGACTTGACTTATTAGTTCAATAAAAGGCTTCTAGACAAAGGCGTAGTTGTTGGCTCACGTAATTGACATTAGCATTGAGTTATGTAAGATCGAGCTAAACAACGTTAAACACAATGTTCATCGACTTGTCCCCAACACGAGTTAAAAGGTGAATCGAGCAAAAGTTTTCCATGAAAGTTGCTCGTGAGCCTGCTGGGTTGCTAGCCAATATCAAAGCGGATGCTTTTGCAGCCGATAAACTATCAAGTCATCAACAGTCATGTGCCATTGATAACTTGATGGGTCATTGCGCTTGTCATTTTGAATTCAAGTTTTTTCTTATTATTTTTAAAATTTTAATTTTATGGATTGAAAACCCAGTTGATTTATAAATTTTCACCTATAAATACTAAAATTTTCACTTCAAAATTTACATTTCTCTAATTTCACTTTTAAATCTCATTACTCATCAAGCTTAATTTAATTTTCCTTAATCACTTTACAACAGTTGTTTTCATTTCTAGGGAAGATGTGCTCTTCAATGTAATTTTCGATGATAACTTAGTCAAAAAGTCTTTATTCCTATACTGGGGAGCCTATTTCACTTGAGATGAAAACTTCAATATGTTTCAATATATGTAAAATTCAATCGGT